TGGGTTTAGCGCGTTGCGGATTTAATGAATCGTAGCACATGTGTTCCCTGTCTCTAATGTGCTCCTGTTTAATCGCAGAGCAGAAGTTCAACTTTGTGTACATCGTTTGTGGTGCTTGTGTCCACTTGAAGGTCTCGATAAATTGGTTTGCCTTTATTGGACAATTGGTTTATCTTATGCCGATTTAATTCAGTAAGTTTCCATGTAACTTATGATATTGGGTGCTTGATTGAATACATCTCCAAATTTCTGTATTCATACATTTACAGATATTGAGTTTTCGATTGTTTACGATTTACTTGATGTATTGCTAACTCGGTTTCTTTGTATGGGTAACTGCAGAAGGTTGAAGGTAGGCAGAGGAAAGCTACAAACAAATTTGATTGTTTTTCAAAATGTTCTCCTACATCAGGAATAGGTTTCCCATTGAATTTTGTTTGTAGGTTTCTTTACTTACAAACGTGAATCTTCACGAAGATTACTAACAACCAAGTGACAGTGGAATATTTATACTTTTGCAGCATTCTACGTGCTTTCTGCGTGTAGATTCTTATTGTTTTTTTTTAGTAATTTTGAAAGAAGTCAGAATTGCTCAGTTTTACCCATTTGATGGTGCTAGCGTCCTATGAGGAGGTTATATTGCTTTAAACACTTGAAAATATAATGCGAGTGAAGTATGTGTATAGGCAATCTAGTGGATAAATTTTCTCTGGAAATTACTGATGATCAATGTGTTTAAATTGCCAGATCAGACATAATGATACATTGGTTTATTCCTTCTTCTGCAATCGTTGAAAAGTTACAGTCAATTAACAAAGAAATAATTTAAATAGTTAAATGTGGAATGTATTTGACTCGATTTAGTCTACTTACATACAGAAACTCATAATTTTTTTGAATCTCCAGATTCAATAACTTCCCTCTTCAGTCGAACAGAGAGTAGCTACTCTTGAAAGATCACTTCATGTCTAGTTAGAGGTTTGCTTATATCATTGCATATTTGTTTGTTCGAGTATATCTTTTCATTAGTTACGAGTAACTATATTGATAAATAGCATGTTATCGACCAAAATGTAATAAGAAGAGGGAAAAACTGATAAATCACACCTCCTTCTTCAGTCCTAAGCCTAGCTAAATGATTCGCCAGATAAGAACTGATGAATCAGCCATCATTCTTCATTAATCAACCTATCCATTTGTTCTACTTGAAGAAAACTAATCAATAAGTCATGATTTCGCTTTCCATAGCCTGGCCAAGTGATCTCCCAGTCAAAAACTGATCAATAAGCAGTCATTCCTTATTCCTCAGCTTAGGCAAGCTATCTCGCAGACGAAAACTAATCAAGGAGTCATGATTCCGCTTTTTAAATCCTATCGAACTGATCTTCCAGTGAAAAACTGATCCATTGGCAATCACTCATCATTTCTCAGCTTAGGCAAGCTATCTCGCAGACGAAGACTAATCAAGGAGTCATGATTCCGCTTTTTAAAGCCTAGCCAAGTGATCTCCCAGTCAAAAACTGATCAGTCAGCAATCATTCCTCATTCCTCAGCTCAGGCAATCTATCTCGCAGACGAAAACTAATCAAGGAGTCATGATTCCGCTTTTTAAATCCTATCGAACTGATCTTCCAGTGAAAAACTGATCCATTGGCAATCACTCATCATTTCTCAGCTTAGGCAAGCTATCTCACAGACGAAGACTAATCAAGGAGTAGTGATTCCGCTTTCTGAAGCCTAGCCAAGTGATCTCCCAGTCAAAAACTGATCAATCAGCAGTTATTCCTTATTCTTCAGCCTAGGCAAGGTATCTCGCAGACATAAACCGTTCAATCTGTCACCATTCCCCATTCCCCATTGCCCAACCCTATCTATCAAGTTATTGGCCAACGGTACACGTTCCTTGGAAATTCTGCAGTGTATCTTAGTGGCACCTACTGATCCAGTGGTCTATTATTAACAGGTGCTGCGTTGCCTCATAGCGTGTTGCCGGTATCGCGATCCAGCGACGCATCGATTGCACCGTTTCGGTTAATAATCGGGTCGTTAACGACGCCCCCGGCTGTTATGCAGCGCGTCCGCTCTCTCTTCTCACGTTCGGCCATTGAAGTTCCCGTCGGCGCAACGATAACCGTGCCGAAGGTGCAACGGCGTTCAAATTCCTCCCTTGTGGGATGGTTTTCGTAGTCGCGGGACTCTGACAGGCGGCACGCAACTGCATCTCACGTAACTAGTATTACAGGTCCGTCCGAGGTGATTCGGTATTTATAGTTCCTAATTAAAATCTTAGGGCCACCGTAGTTTTTAACGTTTCTCACGGTAATTGTATTGTTTAAAGGTTTGAAAGGTAATTCAACCCTTTGCACTCGAGCGGCGCCTTTCAATAGCCATTTGATTTGACCGAACAAAATGGTCAAATTTACAATTCAATATCAAATTTTATATAATGTATCGACACATGGAACATCGAAATAAACGAGCGTTGTCACTTAATTTATACAAGGTATTTTTTTATGTTAGTTGTAAAACGTATCATTGATATTTCATCAGAAAATAATGAATATTTATTGAGAAAAATATTCTCGAGTGCAAGGGGTTAACAATATACTTGTTGTAGTGGTAATGCTTTGTAGTCGACGAGTGTTTTCTTGGAAATGGATATTTGATTTTGTAGTCCTGTTGATAGTTTTCAGCGTTTTTGTATTGATAGTCAGCATGTTTTGCGTTGTTATGAACGTATTAGGCTGTTTATTTTATCGAAATTGGAATCTGTCTTTATGGTCGTTTTTAATTATATATATTGTTTTATTAGTTTGACGTTTATTATTGTTATTTTAATGGTATTGAGGATCTTGTAGTCCCTGTGTTTTGTTTAGATGTTACTGTGTCTTCATAGTCCTTTTAGTTATATTGTTTTCGTATCTTTGTGTTTATGATCGTTATTTTGTCCGAAAATAGAAATGTCGTGGTCAGTATATTTCATCGAGAGAGATGATATTTTCAGTTATTTACAGTATTTTACAGTCGTCATAAGTCATTCGCTGTCTCTTATGGATTTTGAGAGACTTTTCTGAAGTACCTACTGTCTTTGATATTCATTCAGTCTCTTCCAATTTTTGATAGTCATTTCATAAGTACTTACAGTCTTCAGTTGTCATTTCATGAGTACTCACAGTCTTCGATTTTCATTTCAAAAGTAGTTACAGTCTGTGACAGTCACTCACAGTTTTTTACAAACCTTGATGGTCGTTTCATTATCACTTATTGCAAGGTATAGTCACTTCATGAGTATTTACAGTAACGTATACTTATTTAAAAGCATCTATAGTCACTTGTACTTACTGAGATTTCAAACTACACTTTCAGATTGTTTACTTTCGCGAGGCTCGTAAATCTCGGCAAAATATATTGCGCGCTTCAATATTCCTGGCTAACCATCTCCAGTTTCCCTAAGATCATATCCTTAATGAGCATAATTTACGAAAGGTCGAGTTCATAACGAGGATAATTCATCTATCGTAATATTTCCATTGAGAGTAATTTATCTAGTCTCATATTTCTGGTCAGCACCATTTATCTAGGGTCATATTTCTAGTCAGCGCGATTTATCTGGGACATAGATTGTCAGCGGAGTGTTACATGAAGCTGGATGGTCACTGGAATGCTTTCTAGCAGCTGGTATACTTTTTAGAATACTTTCTGGTAATGTATTTCCAGCCTTCGATACGCGTAAAAGTTAGAGTAATACATAGTGTCGTTGAAATTTCAAAGTCTCCTAGTCTCTTAAGTATTCTATAATTAATGAAACTACTGGTTCTGTAAATTACACAATAATGTGCAACATCCTCTAATGAATCTCGAAATGAATAAATTAATCGTTCCAGAAGTAATAGGGCTATTCTAAATGTAATGTAAACAACCTTGTTTTCATTAACAACTCTAGAAGTTGATATTGGAGTCTCGAATTACGTAATTATTCTTTTGGCAATTGTTATCTTCATTATTTTCATTAATAAATCTCGAGATAATTATAATAATCTTGGGTGCACTAATGAGTCTTTATAGATTCAGTGTAATCTTCTCTGTCTTCACTAGTAAATCTCTTCAGAATTCAAATAATATGGGTACTTGCAATGATTTCTTCTTTTGACTATATAATGTGCACGATTTTCACTAATTAACTTCGAAATAATTACGATAATGAGCTCTCACCGAATTATTCTCCATAAGTCCGGTGTCAACTTCGCTATTGAATTTCAAAATGAATAAAATAATCAGTTCTAAACTAATTATTCTTCCTGGATCAAGTGTAATCTTTGCTGTCTTCGCGAACAAATCTATATTCATATCAAATAATACATGCACTGATATGATAACTAGATCTGGTGTCAACTGCCCTGTCTTGACCAATAAATTTCAGAACGAGTAACACGAACGAATGATTTTCTGAATACATTATTCTCTCCAGTAGTTGTGTGATTTTCAGTATTTTCACTTTTTCATCTAGAACCGAATAAACTGATCACACCTGGATATATATTTCTATCTAAATGCAATGTTATCTTCAGTATTTCCACTAATAAATATCAGCACAATTAATACAATCACTTCTGAACAAATGATTCTCCCCAAAACCAGCCAAATCTTCACAATCTTCACTCATATTTTTCAAATCAATGAAAACGATCACATCTGAACAAATGATTTTCCCCAACTCTAACATAATCCTCATTAACTCCACCAGTAAATTTCAAAGCAATTGAAATAATCACGTCTGAACGAACGATCTTCTCCAAATCTAACCTAATCCTCACTAACGCCCCTAATAAATTCCATAACAACTGAAACAGTGGCTTTTCACCAAATTCAATATAATCATCTCCACCGTGTTCGCCAATAAATCTCGAAGCGAGTAAAATAGTCCCGACTGCGGGTAATGGTTCTTTAAATCACAATGTCACGCGAACGGTCGATCAGTTGGTGTTTGTAACGGCACTCACGTGTTCCATCATGGCCGGGTAATGGGCGGGATACAGAATGCACGGGACGAATGCGCCGATCAGGTGTGCCAAAGAGAAGACGAATCCTGCGAGGCAGGCGTAACGTAATCTGATGGGGAGCAGAGCGTAGGCCGTGTAAATGAAGAAGCACACAGCCCACGCGGCGGCTAGTGGTCCTCCACTTCGGTGCTCCTTGGAGTCTACAGCTAAGTGGACGCTCAGTGACACCTGCATGGCTAGCAGGGTCACCAGGATGATGCCGCTGACGCCAGCTAACCAGACTTCGTTCATTCCTGGCCTGGAGATTGCGGCTACTAGAGCTGGAACATCAAATGTCATTGATCTTGATGAAACCAAGTGTCGTGTACCTTGTTTTCCACCGACGACGTTCGGTGGTTAAATTAGTACGTCGCACGCCGAATTAACTTTGTGCGAATTTTTAGTTTTGTTAAGTGGACTGTATTTACTTGTGAAAATCAATGTAGTGACTCGAAATATGTTAGATACTCTTTATTTGCTTGTCTGACTATTTGTTTCCAACTATGATTCTCAACTGGCTGGACCTCCCAGAATCGTCTTTGACGACACCTCCGCAATGTCGTCTTCGCGGGGGTGAAGACGTTCTGGTTAGCCCTTTTCGATCTAAAATGGTTGTGGAAGGGAGACAGAGTCCCTTCCCTTCTTGGGTCTTCCTAGTTGCTAAAGTTAATAACTAATCCATCCCGTTTGCAATCGTCGACCGTGGCAGGTAAAAAGCAAGAAACGCTTGGCCTTAATAACACATGCTAACAGACGGGCAAGAGAGTTAAAAATACTGGTGACTGGACGCCAGATGTGAACAATAGACAAGGAAAATCTACAGCAAGAATCGCGGGCCTTATGGGTTCAGGGATTTATGGCTGCCACGGTCCCTTCTCGTAATACCGTAAGGGCGATTGCAAGTTGTGAACGGGACAAAGGCTCTTACTGTTCCGAAAAAACTACCAAATGTACAATAAGCCTTAGAAAACATAAAAAGTGTATACAAACTAAAAACTACGATGGTTTTAAGGGGTTGGACGACACGGTAAGGCTATAAGTGGCCTTAACACCAAGTACTTTTTTAACCAGTTAACTGTGTTTGACGAGTATACAAGTCATCTTAAAACTCTTCATGATGCTAACTTTTTCAACGATGGATTATTTATTTTTTGAGACAAACATGTAATTCCTCTTCGTTTCGCTTTAGTTTTTCGTTAGGGTATATTTTAAGTACATTTGGCTTGCATTTAACGAGTATACACTTCATTATTTGATTTTATAGCGCGCACAAGGAGAGATTTATCAAACTAAATTCCACACTTAACTGGTTAAGATTAAAATTACGGAATAGTTGAATTGACTTGCTGACATTCGTCTATAGAGTTTTCAAGAGTGCATGCATTCAGATTTTAACCCCTTGTCCTACAACAATGAGTGAGATTCGTGGTGACGATTTTCAATATGATTCAACAAGTATATAAATTATTCAGTTCATTCAAATTCTAAGTAAATATTATTCCTGTGTAGTCAACTATTGTACTTAATAGGAAATATTGGCATAACATATGCTTGGAATTTGTTTCTTTTTCCAGTTAATTATTACCAACAAAGTAACCGTACTGATTAGAGTTGTGAAATGAGTCGTTGGACAAGGGGTTAATTGATTTGGAAGTCACTGTGCGCATTGATACATCGTCTGATAATTCGTCAGAGTAATATCTGTTAGTTTTTTAAGAATTTTGAATTGAAGAAAACAGGAATGAGGTCATTTTAGTGTTGACTCTGAAGGCACTAAGTAATTGGGCTGTTTTATTTCTGAGTTTTTATGAGAATTAGGAGAATATATTTCTGGGGTTATGATGAGTTTGTTATTGTTGTATCTGTATGAATATATAAATTGATTTTACAATTTTTCGCAAATGGCTCGTCGTAATTTAATTAGTTGCAAACTAAACGTTCTAAGATGGGTCAATTTGAACCGTCTGTTACTTTTAGTGTTACCGGAGAACATCACCTTTTGAATTTTAGGAGGTGACAATTTCTGATTTTCTGTAGACGTATGACTGTTACATTCTCTTTTACATTTATACTCTTTGTTAACCAGAATGTTACAAAATGGTACAGTTATTCAAAACCATTGTTGTGGAACCTCCGTTCTTAGCAGAGTGCATTATAAACAACTGAAATATTCGAAGACAACAATTTTCGCTGGTTTCCAAATAGAAATAAATACTCTAAAATTTAGCTTACAGATTCGCAAAAATTTTAATTATCATGGAAATGGCAAGTATTTAAAGCGCAGAAACCTGTGTTTATCCGAAAAATTAGCTTCATATGTCTGTAAAAAAGTAATTATTTGAAACATCAAAAAATTCGTACGCTACGTTGTAGATATTATATTTCAATTTATAAATTCACAGAAAATGCAATAGCTACGACAGTTTGTACCATTTTGCCTTTGAAAAAATATAAACAAACCACAGAGGATCACAGTTATTCATCCACAAGGAATGAAAAGTTTTCAGTTGATAGTTATTAACAAAACAAATTCCTAAACCTTCCGTACATTCATCAAGTCTCTAGGTGGGGACAATCCTTAACGCTAGGTTTACAGAACGCGTCTAACTGACGCATATTGGATTTTAGAAATATTATTTTGCAAATGTTCACGCCGATTTTGATTGATGCGGTCACACTGACGTGTACCCCAATTACCTACTATCAAATCTCCAGTTTCCACAATCTTAATAAATATCAATTCTTTTAGGAATAATAGAATGAAGTGTACAATAAATGCCCGTAACCCTAGTGTTAACCTGTAAAATCGTAACGACGACAAATTGCAGCTGAACCTTTTATTTCTCAAGGAAGGAACAATCGAAATGAGAATAAATCGCCGGCAATCCCAGCGACGAATGTTTCGAAACGGCCTTACGGAAAATAATCCCTGGTTGCTAAGTCTCTTCCTGCCGCTCGTGTCGCAACGACGTTGACAAAGGGACGGTCCATTTGCCGACGGCGTAAAACCTCGCGTCGCGAACGTTTGTAGGGTATAAAATGGCTCTGATAAAAATGGCCCGTTATCTAGCGTTATCATTCCCGCAACGCGCAAGATCGAATAGGACAATAATGGATAAAAGTGCGCCAACGCTGCAGCCCCGTGTTTTGAAGTGACGATCAAATATGGCTCCACTTTGCTGGGACGTTTGTTGGGAAAATTCTGTAGGAAGGTAAACGTAAATTATTTAGCTGAGGCTAAATTGACTTTGTACGCAACAACTTTGAATTTGATTATGTCTATGTCGTTCCTCGGTGGGGTACTCTCTTATTGGCGTTTAATATTGAAGTTATAAACTACACTATTTAACTAATATTGACGAATAACACTAAACGGTAACAGAAGCTATCACCGTAACGGAAGAACGTGGACACGCATCTGTGCGCGCTTCTGCTGTGTTATATGCGCATAGCGATTTTCAGTGCTGCCAACACCTCTTAGCACGTTGACTGCCATGAAAATTTCTAGCGTTTTGAATAGTAATGCTCATTCTTTAACCAGTTAACTGTGTTTGACGAGTATATACGTCATCGTAAAGCTTGACACGACACTAATTCTCTCAGCGATGAATTCTTTCTTTTTCCACCTAAACATGTAATTTTTCTTTGTTTCGCTTTGATCTTTTATTCAAATATAATACCACGTGCATTCGCCCTGCGTTCGACGAGTACACGCTCCATTTTTCTATTTTATTACGCGCACAACAAGAGGTTTTTCCAACTAAATTCTACAGTTAACTGGTTAATGACAAAGGGAAATGATATTGAAAATAATTATTGATGCTTTAGTATTACAATAATCATATTACGCTGTGATCTAGCTTTTTACGTTACTAAATATTTTTATTTAAAATCAATATTTTATTGTAATTGTTCTTCGGCAATTTCGAAGCTCCGGTTACCAGTCACCACCCTGGAAGTCGAAGTGTTGACACGTTGAATGCCATGAGGGTCGCCGAATCGAGTCAAATTATTAGAATTCATTGAATAACCCTTTGCACTCGAGTGGTGACTCTGTCATCACTTGATTCGATACAGTAAAATTATGAAATTTGATATTCAGTATTGAAGAGTGTGTAATGTATCGGTGCGTGAAATATTGGAATAAAAACGTTTGTTTCTCAATTTACTTGCGATTTCTCTTTGAATCAATTTAAAAAAAATATCGTGTGTGTCTAGTTAGTAAATGTTAAGTATTTCTAGCCAAATACTTCCGAGTGCAAATAGTTAAATGATGATTATTTGAAAACGTTTCTGTATGAGAAATAATGCTACCTAATGCGGTAACATTCTGCTAGATAAACGTGCAATAATAATAGAGCAATTGAAACAATAGATTAAATATTATGGTTTTTCTATTTTGTGTATTCTGCTGTATGAAATCGTACAGCATTCGACGTATTAAAATGGCTACCTTCTTAGAGATGAAATTGTCATTGGGCTGTCAGTTTGGAAACTTTGTCAATTCATTCCAGTAATTGGCCTTGGAAGTTACAGAATATTATGGTTTAAGTTATTGATGATGTATTTCTGGTGTAGATCTTGAAAATTGATGCAGCTTTCTGACCATATACTGATTCATTCTACTCGTACTGATACATTCTAGTAAACAATTTTTTAAATTCAATAGAGTCATTCGTATCTGTATTGTATTATGCAGTTATGTTATATACACGTAGTATACAATTATATTATTTACTTATTTATTGTGAATATCAAAGTAGAAATCTTTGCAACTGAAGCTTAATATGTTTTTGTAATATTTGGTATTTCTATTAATACAAGTTTTCTCGTGTTAGCGAGTATTTATAAGTTCTCTTATAACATGGAGATGAACTTTTACTACTAACACGAATATTATTGTGATGTCTTAGATATTACTGACCCACACTACTTGCTTACTGTCCATATTGTAAATTATATTCCTGTAGTTATTTCATTGTTTAATTCAATGTAATATACGTACTTCTACCCTATTAATTTATTCTATTTTAGAATATGCTTCAGTATTTGTTGATATTATTTTATTTATACGAAAATAAATAAATATTTAAAGTTTAATGTTGGCTTACCAGAATATACCATGACGCAAAGGATGAGTGTGAGGGCTAGAGTAAGGTTTTCAGGCCTCTCCAGCATGACTAGAAATTGTTGATTATCTTCGAAGAATAATCGAAGGAATAGTAGAAGGCCCAGAGCAATTGCTAGTCCCGCCAGCAGGCCCAGTACGTGTGTCATGTTGCTCTGGTTCATTCGCAGGAAGTACCTTTGATACAGCATTTCCACCTGTAAATTTCAATTTCAAACAGCCATGACACTTTCCACGTCTTATAAAGGTAATAGAAGGTACTAGAAAATGGTCAAAAATGTTACAACATAAATAGAAAATAGTGAAAAAGGGTACCAAATAATAGAAAATGATCAGGAATGGTACGAAGTAATAACAACTGATGAAAAATTGTACTAAATAATATAGAATAATAAAAAATGGTATGATATAATAGAAAATGGTAAAAAATGGTACCAATTCATTGAATACATTGAAAAATAGTACACAAGCACTGAAATAATTGTTCACTGTGTCTTAATTATAAAATACTGCAATACATCTTCCATTTCGTTGATAGAAAGTAGAAGAACAAATATTAGATGATGGTAAAAAAGGGGGAAACCTTGAAAATTTATTGGCATTAATTTTGTGAATCTTGTTAAAATTTTTAATTATTGGAGAATCTATATTTGAGAGACATCCGACCAATTTCGTCCTGAGTTTAAAATTCATTCCTGGTTAAACTTCGTTCATTAATAATTTCCATATTATTTTAATTGGACCTTGGGATCTTTTATGCTGGCACATATTATAGTTAGTTTCCTGGTGTAAGCTTTTTACACAGAATCCAACTTTCCTTGATTGGGTACGGTCTGCTTGTATTAACAGTAATATCAGACATTATTAAATTAAAATTTAATTATCCTGGTCGTACCCTTTTCATTCCGTAAGTCTCCATTTAACCATCTTACTTTCTTTAATGTGTTCTGTTTAATCTTTATTCTTTATTATAGTTTCTATTATTATGCAAGCAATCTTTCATAAAAGTAAACGACGAAAATTCTTATTTTAATACTTCCTTTCTTAGTAAAGTCGATGCTAATGAGTTTCGTGATTAGCATATTCAAGTGTAAAATGGAAAAAAGTGCATCATTGTGCATTGTATGTGTGATTAGTTTATTATAAATTCAATACAAGTTTATTATAAAAGGAATGAAATTTGACATTTATTCTGTATTTACGTTTAGTTCAAAGTTAATCGATATTGATAACGGGTGTGTAACACTTAATTTAGATTTTAGAAGAGTGAGTGACATTTAGGTTCATCAAATTCAGTTTAGTATTTTCGTTGCGAGTCTGAGGTGATACTGCAAGGCGAAAGGTTAAGAAAACATCCTGTCACCTATACTATCAGAATAACATCAACATATTGTCACTTAAATCTCTCTGACATTGATCGAAACATGAGCTTACCGTATCGTCACAACTACTCAGCCCTAACGCCCACTTTCGAAGCTTGATAATACCGGCGACGTGATCGCGTGACACATATGAGGAGTTTCATCACTTCAACAGTGATACTTCTATAGGATCAGAAATGACCTCCTTCAGATATTATATTTCCTGCTATTGTAAAGCAATATTTTATAACATATTACACATCTGTAAAATTGAATATATATATATATATGTATATATGTACATTGTACTTCATTGTATATGATAAACTATTAAATGGTGCTATGGTTCAAAATACTACGTAAAATACTACACCACTGTTATTATAATGCTATACGAATATTTCATACTAAATTCGTCAATTTTAAATGTCATTTGCTTATTTTTAATATAAATTCAATAATGCTTCCTCATTATCAATTTGTAAGATCTGTATTGAACGAAGACGCAAAATAAGTATAAGCTTATTTCCTTTTTCTACTACATTATTAGGGTTTAAAATTATATTGTCTAACATTGTTCTGTTGTAAATCATATTGCATGTGGTTAATTATTATATCAAATCATATTGTATTAAATTATTATATTAACTTTATCATTAATTTTTGCTATATTAACTTTTATTATATTAACTTTTACTATATTACCTTTTACTATATTAACATTTACTATATTAACTTTTACTATATTAACTTTTACGGTACTAACTTTTACTATATTAACTTTTACTATATTAACTTTTACGGTACTAACTTTTACTATATCAACTTTTGTTATATGAACTTCTATTATATTAATTTTTATTAGAGTAACGTTTACTACATTAACTTTCATTAATATTATTATAAGTGTTATTAACTGTTATTCCTGTTTCAATTTCCCTAGTATCGAACTGGAAGTAACCGTACTCCCATGGATTCTTTTCGTGTTTCATGATTGATTGTTATCATTATCGAAAACGCTTGTAGTACTTCGAGAATAGGGGATGCAATGTTGCAATCTTCAATAGGATGGGAGTAGCAACAGATGCCGCGAGGCGTTTCCGGGGAATATTCTTGGATCTCCACGAGCGTGGGAATGAAGTCAGGTTGGCTTAGCCGAGATTTGCGTTATGGGATTCCCCGTGGATCGCGATTACGGGGCTAAAGATGAACGATACATGGCTCAGCCACTATTATGACCAGCGCGCATTGCTCTCGATGGTTATCGTAAGTTTACGTTTGTTGTTATGACTATCCTTCGATTTTCAAACTAAGCAATAAAATTCCATATTGTTAAAAATCAATATTCTGCAGTACTACTTTCTTTAGAATAATATTTACCAACAAAGAGAATTACTTCATAGGAGTTCTTTCTTTACCAATTATTTTATGAATACTTGACTGAAAATCTCATTTAAGTTACACTACAAATTAATAATTTATGGCAATGAAATTTCCCTCAAGGTCAAAGCTATGTTTTTAGATCCTATCATAGAATATTCTGTTGCTTGTATCAATAAATAGTTTATCATCGAATATGTTAATGAGTACTTAATTAATTCGAATGTCGATCCTTATGTTGAATATATTAATAAATAGTTAATCCTTGCATAATTCGTGTCAAATTCCACATAATAATTTCTTTATGTTAGTGAATTTTCTTTTCCTTTCGTAATATTTCGAAGAATTTGTTTAGCTTACAGAATTGAAGATAATTTGCATAGTTTTCAATGAAGTGGCTACTTTTTTATTTTATTCCTTTGAATGTAGTCAATTTCTTTTTTTGTTGAGAATAATATCGACATCATTCTCGATTTGCAAAGTTTCCGACAATTCGGCTAGCTTTTTATTCCTCTTATTTTGTGGAAACTGGTAAAATGGATCTGTTAACATATTGCTGCTTTGAAATGTTCATGTAATTTTCAGTGGAATTGTAGATTCATGTGAAAACGTATTCGTCGTCGCAGGTAATTCCACCGGGCGTGTATATTTAATTCGATATTCTCCTGGAAGTAAGGACATTTTTTGCAATGTTTCATTTCCGCAGAACTGACGTTCGTAGCAGGAAATTTTTGAAGTTCTTTTTGCCTATGCATTTCTTTTCTTTTTATTTCTTATTTCGACACAGGAAATTCTAAACGAATTTTTACTTGTGTATTTTGATTTCTTTTATTTCCTGCATCCTATTTCACAATAGCAAATTTCTAATTATTTTATACTTACCTGTTTGTATTCTTTTTATTCCCTATTTCATTACAGGAAACTTTTCAATTCTATTTTGCTTGTACATTTGTATTTTCTTTATTTTCTATTTAATTCTGTGAAATTTAATAAATTTGTGTTTTTGCTGACACATTAGCATTCTTTTTATTTCCCATTTCATAGTAGGAAACTTTTAAAGCTTTTTTTGTTCTGTCCTCGTGCTCTTTTTATTAATACTCGTTGTCGTTCTCTTATGCAAGTGAATTTTTACAGTATTATGTATCCTTTGATGTGTGCTGGAAGTTTCATTATTTTCGGCGTTCTGGATGTAATTAAAAATTCTGGAGTCACTTAAATTACCAGGCGCTGAATTTTCCTGGTGTTATAACGTCTGTATTGAGATTACTTTCTTTGTAAGTAGTTCCATACGTACAATGCAATTTCGGGTACTGAACAGCAAAGTTTAGAAGTAATTTACTAGGTTTGGAAGTAATTTAGTTTGTGTTTACTAAACGTTGGGAACTTCGTTCTTTTGCAGTGATGTTTCTATCTCTTAAATTCCTTCGAGTAATCCCCTTTAAATTAAACGAATTTTACTTTGTCAATTTGCATGTAATTTCTTTGAAAATAATATTACAAATTAGAATATACAGGAATATATATATATATATATATTGTTTCTTTTTTCAATGTTGAAACAAAAAATTTTTCGTTATATATTGTCATTAGAAACAAGAAGAATAGTTGAATATTACATATTACAAGTCTTGATGACTCATCATTCTAGTTTGTGTTTTTGACAATAAAAGCTTTGTATAATACTCCGTACAACGTAATAATATTACAAAACACGTTAAATACATATTATAAATGTGTTATAAATTATAATTTCTTTTGCATTGTTATATTATTTATTACTTCAAAAGTCCGTCATATTTGTTAGATAAAATAACTAAATAACTAAGAAAATAAATAAACATTATCCTTATAACAACGAAGTATCTAAATATTTCTATATAATCATATTTGAAAAAATACTTCATTTCATCAGAAATTTTCAAGAAAAAATTTCCAACAAACTTACATTCCCCATAGAATCCCTTTTCACGGGGAAACAAAGCAAAATTCTCGCATAAACGCAACTAAACAACCTCTCAAGATTATTTCTCCTCCAGTTGCTGAATTAATTAAGAACTTCCCCGGCATCGTTCCTTTTCTGTCAAACTTTCTCGCCTGTGAGAATGTACAGAGAATATCCTTTGAAATATTCAAGGGAAAATCGAGAGACCGTCCATCGATTCGTCCCGAACGATTCAATTCGCTCGTTGAATGGAAAATTGTTTCGACGTCGCCGCAACTTTTCTAATTTTCCGCGTGTCACGCGCCGCTTCCGAATTATCGGCGGTTCGTTTCCGGCTCGGGAATTAATTCAACACTTGGTGTAGGGACCGCGTCATTTCGACGCATGCCGAATTTTATGGATGTTATTTTGTAAATATTTAAGGGAGCTCACCACCTAAAGATGTCCGAAATATTAGTAAGATTTAGGAATTTTTTTCTTAATAACTCCGAAGTGAAAACTTCTGATTCTTATTCCATGTGTAATTATCATCTTCTGCTTTCTACTTATATTTTTTCTGAATCAGAATATTGCAAAATGCTGCAGTTATTTGCTAGCTTGATAACAATGCTTTGTAAAGCATGCATTCTTGGTGGACTGGATTATAAATAATTTCAACATCCAATGACAAACATTTTTGTTGATTTATTCATAGAAATACATTATCTGAAATGTTGCATACGGATTTCCCGAAATTTTAATGATAATAGAAATGTCAAATATTCCAAGTGCAAAAACCTCTTCCACCCCCAAAAATTAGCTTCAAGTATAGATAAGAAAATTAGATAATTGAGATATCGGAAAATACGTATGCAAAATTTTAGATAATATATTTCTATTTATAGATCCACACAAATTTTTGTCTTTGGATATATATTTTTTACATTGTGTCTGAAACTAAGCGGTGTACGAAAGAAATCCAAATTATCCATTTCAATATAAAATGAACTCATGAATGAATCATATAAATTAATGTTTAAAACAATTTAAAAAAAAGTCATCACGTGTCCACCCCATAAAGATATTGTAAAAAATGTGATTCCAATCCTGAATTTCGAGGGGTGGTTTTACCCCTTCAAAATGAATGTTGGCTGATAAGATAAAATATGTATGAAATAATTCCTTCAGATCTGCGTCTCACATGTTTCATCAAAATCGACATGTGGTTGTTGAAAAGCTTCCCTTGCGGGGCCAATGGAATAAATTGCACAATAAATATTCGTGAACCTGGTGTTAACGCGATGGGAATCGTCTCGCGTTCCAGGAGCGTCCGGCTCAAATTTACGGGTTAAATTTACTCGGTCGATGAGTCGGAATTAGCGTCGACTAAAATTAAAATTAAAGAAGTCGGGGGTGCACGCGACAGGATGATGGAGAGGATGACTCGTGACAGGGGGCAATATGTCAGTGGAGAAAGAATTGCCTTGTTAGCGCGGATTCGTTGTCGCTTGAGGCGTTGGGAATTATTTATTGCGACTGGGATCTTCTGTTTGCTGGGTTGGTAAATAGGATGTGCTTCTTTTTTATGGTGCTTTACTTTGTTCTTTATTATCGTTACTGTACTGGTAATATTTTCTGTAATAAGATAATAGTGTCGTTGATACTGCGGAATGTGAAAACCTGTTTTATATTATTAGGATGTTTTCTATTTGGTTATTTATACATTTGTGATGCCGTGTTTTATTCTGAACTTCGTTAAGTTCAAATTGTTACTGTATTGATAACAGTTTTTGTAATAAGTTTATGGTGTTTTTAATTTTATGAAATGTAAAACCGAATTTGGTATTATTAGAATGTTTTTCATTTGAATATTTTTGGAGTAGTTTATTCTGAACTTCGTTAAGCAATATGAGAATATCTATTATGCGGGTGA